TGGAAGAAGAGATAGACAAGTTGCGCTGGAGTATTATAGGATTATCCGAGGTCCTAAGAGAGAGGGGGAGGACACGGTGATTCTCGAATCCGGCAACTTGTTCTATCACCGGGAGGGCGACCATCTGTCCCAAGGAGGTGTCGGATTTATCGTCCACAAGTCTCTCGTCAACAACGTTGTAAAGATTGGGAGTGTGTCGACGAGGGTCACGTACCTGATACTCAGAATCACCAAACGGTATTCGCTGAAGGTCATACAGATTTACGCACCAACCTCGGCACATCCCGATGAGGAGGTAGAGGAAATGTATGAGGATATTTCCAAAGCCATGCATTCCTCCAAAACCCACTACACGGTGTTGATGGGAGACTTCAACGCAAAACTAGGCACAAGAGAAAGCGGTAAGCTGAAGTTAGGGAAATTTGGAGTAGGGCAACGGAACCGAAGGGGCCAGCAGCTGGCCGACTTTATGGAGAAAGAGGGACTCTTTATGATGAACTCTTTCTTCCAGAAGTGGCCCCACAGGAAGTGGACCTGGTCGAGCCCCGACGGTTCGACAAAAAATGAGATTGACTTCATTAAGACGACCAGACGCCAACTGTTCAGTGATGTCTCAGTGATCGCAAGGGTGAAAACTGGCACCGACCACCGAATGGTTAGAGGCACACTGAACCTAAACGTTAAGTTGGAGAGGTCTCGTCTAATGAAGTCAACGCTCCGTCCCCCTCGTGCTCTAATCCAGAATTCCGAAAACTTTCAGCTCGAGTTACACAACCGCTTTCAGTGCCTACAAGATTGCAATGCAGTGGACGATATGAATGACAAGCTCGTGGAAACTGTCCATGCGGTCGGAGCTAAGTTCTGCAAGACCCACCGCAGAAGAACACAAAAACTCTCCGATCACACTCTTAATCTCATGGCTGTTAGATGGGAGATGAGGCTGCAATCGTCAACAGATTTGACAGCATACAGTCAACTGAACAGACAGATCTCCAAATGCATGCGGCGAGACTTACGCAACTTTAATACTGCTCGTATTAAAGAAGCGATCGAGCGGAACCAGGGCTCCAAAGTCTTTGCCAGAGATCGGTCTGCCAGAAAGAGCCAACTGTCAAAGCGGAAGACTGAATGTGGCAGCATCGTTTCCGGGACACCTGAGATGTTGAGTGAGATTGAGAGGTTCTATGGGCAGCTGTACACATCATCGTTGGAGCCACACGCAAGTGTGAGTAACGATCCAAGAGCAAGTCTTATCCGACACTATTCCGATGATATCCCGGACGTCAGTCTAAGCGAAATTAGAATGGCTCTCCAGCACCTTAAAAACGGCAGGGCCCCAGGCGAGGATGGAATTACAGCGGAGCTTCTGAAAGCGGGTGGAACACCGGTACTGGAAGTCCTTCAGAAGCACTTCAATTCCGTCATCCATGGTGGCACTACTCCAGAGGCGTGGAGCAGAAGTGCGGTGGTCTTGTTCTTTAAGAAAGGCGACAACGCTCTCTTGAAGAACTACAGACCCGCGTCTACGTGCTGTTTTCGAGAGTCATTACGAATCGTCTCGCACGCAGACTCGACGACTTCCAGCCTCCCGAACAAGCCGGTTTCCGAAAAGGCTTCAGTACCATAGACCACATACATACCCTTCGGCAGATTGTACAGAAGACTGAAGAGTACAATTTGCCACTTTGCCTGGCGTATGTGGACTATGAGCCTTTGATTCCGTCGAAATTTGGGCGATGCTGCAGTCCCTTCAGCGGTGCCAAGTTGACTGTCGGTATATCGAAGTGCTGAAGTGTTTGTACAGTAGGGCTACGATGGCTATCCGAGTACAGAACCAGAGTTCGAAGCGTATTCAACTGCAGAGAGGTGTAAGACAGGGTGACGTTATATCCCCGAAACTCTTCACCGCTGCTTTGGAAGACGTTTTCAAGCTACTGGACTGGAAAGGATACGGTATTAACATCAATGGCGAGTACATCACTCACCTTCGATTTGCCGACGATATAGTCCTTATGGCAGAATCGCTGGAGGACTTAAGCACTATGCTCAATGACCTCAATAGTGCCTCCCAACGGATAGGTCTTAAGATGAACATGGACAAAACAAAGATCATGTTTAATGTCCATGTCACACCTATGCCGGTAGTTGTTGGGAGCACTATGCTCGAAGTTGTTGACGAGTATGTTTACCTGGGACAAATAGTCCGACTAGGTAAGTCCAACTTCGACCGAGAGGTCAATCGACGGATTCAACTCGGCTGGGCAGCGTTCGGGAAATTACTACATATCTTCTCGTCAGGTATACCTCAATCTCTAAAAACTAAATTGTACAACCAGTGCGTGTTGCCAGTGATGACTTACGGATCTGAGACGTGGTCCTTCACTGCTGGCCGTATGAGGACGCTCAAGGTCGCTCAGCGAGCTATGGAGAGGGCTATGCTCGGAGTTTCTCTGCGTGATAGACTCAGAAATGAGGATATCCGCAGTAAAACCAGAGTGACCGACATAGCCCAACGGATTAGTAAGCTGAAGTGGCAATGGGCCGGCCATATAGCTCGAAGGACCGATAACCGATGGGGAAGAAAGGTTCTCGAGTGGCAGCCTCGTACCGGTAGGCGTAGTGTAGGGCGACCCCCCACTAGATGGAGTGACGACCTGGTAAGATATGCAGGAAGTCGATGGATGCAGGTGGCTCAGGACCGTGCTTTGTGGCATTACTTGGGGGAGGCCTATGTTCAGCAGTGGACTTGTGAAGGGCTGTAATGATGATGATGATGATGATGTTTGATGTTAAGGTGATATTTATCCTGTCCTTGCCAAAATATTAATGGATATTGTAGTGCGTCATATGAACGGTGTAGATTCGAAATCGTACTGACAGTGTTGTCTCGCCGTGTAATTTTTATAGCGCTATTGTCAACTGGATCACCAACCATAATAATAGCGACCTCATCAAGAGTTGGAGCGTTGAATCTGCCAGCATGTTCACCTAATGGTACTTTTTCGGCTTTTATGACGACTTGATAGTTGTCATTTTGCAGTCGTGGCGAAACTCTTTTAATCTATCGAATTAGTTCATTATGATCTTCTAAATATTTTCCAGCATAATCACAATTGCTCTTACTTCTGCTTGTTCAATGAAATTATACTGGCACCGAGTTGTAACGCACTCTTCACAATTGTCCATAAAATAAATTTGAAGAAATTTCGGATCATTACCAGGCATTGGCATCAATGACCCGATTTGATGGTACACCTGGCCTTGTATTTTAAATGTCGTTTTAAAATTACGTCCATCAGATGCGAAATCGCAAATTTTAGTTGCCCCAAATGACGTCATTTGGAAGCAAGAATTAAATTTGCGTATCTTACGCAAAAATAATTTTGAATCATCTGAATCGCCAGCAAGAAGGGATAATAAAGGTTCCGGCGGAGTGGGTAGAGGTGACAGCACAACTTTTCCCGATGCGCAGCACACGCCGGGTGTTTCGTTCTGAAATTTCAATGCCTGACAATATTGACATACTTTATCCATTGTACCGATAGCGATTTTTGAATGCGCAGAGTAGTTAATATCTGGTGCATATTCGAAAGCAAGACCAACAAATGATGTTCGTGATAATGAGCGGCTGGCCCGCTGCCCCTGTCGTTCTTGTACTCGAGCTGTAGCTATGTTTTGCTCTCGTGCTGCTCTTGTTCTCATAATAGTCTGTCGCAGACGTTTGTCACGCTGTTCTTGATGTTCTCGACTCTCTGCTGTCCTAATTCTTTGATCTGCATTTCTTGTTTCGAATTGTTCTGCCGACTGATGAGCACTTTCAACACGTTTGCGTCGTGCCTCTCTGCCCCTCGCGTTATTGAGATTAGATTTTTTTCGGTGGCATTTGACTTAAAATAATAACTTAAACTTTTAAATTAAAAAAAAAAAACTGAAAAACATGCTATTATATCACATTGAAATAAGGATTGAAAATAAGTTTTAAAAAAAGTTTGAATAAAAAAAAATAAAAAATATTAATAAATCAATAACATGAGAAGCAAGCGGACAATAAATACCAATCATTTTTCTGACAAATAACCAGATTCATTTAGATCTTGGAGCCTTAGTAACCTCATGACCATCAAAATACAGTAATTCTATGCACTGCAAATACAATAATGTAACTATGTGATAATACATATAAGTATAATATATTATTATAATTAAAGAGTTTTGAACAACGAAGCACTAATAATTAAAAAGCAGGAATTTCACTGTATTATCTTCACTATAATATGAATTTAATTTATACTTCAGTAATCAAAATATTATTCCTGTAATTTTGACAAAACATGTCATCGCTAACGTATTGCAAAAATGTAAATTGCTTTATTGAGACTTTTTTGTTTTTTAAAGGAACCGTTTCAAACGTAGCATTGACGCATGCGCAGTACGGGTACGTACTGCGCATGCGTTAATGCGCTTGAAAGCGTATGTATTGTGACTGTCAAATTATATATGTTACCGGAAATGTATGAAATCTAGGAATTGTATACAAATCCTAGGAAATTTATATAATTCCGAAGTTATTTAGGAAATGTATAAAATATTGTTTCAAAAACTATTTAATACATAAATGTCCTAGGAAATGTGCACAATTCCTAGGAATTGTATATAATTCCAATATCATATTAGGAAATGTATAAAAATAATGATTTCTGTAATAAAACACGTTGTTAAAATGAGAATAATAATTTTTATTAAAGCACTCGTTGAGACAACAGCGTTCAGGTAACAGGCATTTCGTAAAATATAATAATCTTCATATTCTCTTACCAATTAAAGCTTCAAAAATCAAGTATCTAGGATCTTTTAAAATGTATTTATCACAAAATCGACTTATATTATTCTCATAAAGTCAAACTTTCGTTGGGTAAGTAATTAGTCTGTTATTTAAGTAATTATAAATGTCACAATATTAAAGTAAGACTTTATATTATATAAAGAGTCAGTGCATATGGCTATTTATTTTTGCAGGGTAAGTCGGAATGGCACTTGGAAGTACACAATAATTTATTTTTATAGCACAGACATCTTGCTTTAGTACAGTTTTTCTTGCAATGGCACTTTTTAAATCCCTGGCCGGTTCCAGTGGATTGTAGGTTAGCAACTGACCGTAGTGCTATCTCCGTACTCGGTACATCCTCTGCATCAAGAAGAGCTCTTGGACACACATTAATCTGAGATCGAGAATATAATTGTTTTAAGATTCCGTTCTTGGTACCAATTTGATAAAGCTCATCATCGGTTTTAGCGAAAACTACACCTATAATATTTCGGGCATCACCACGTCCTCTGTCAACCTCTGGAACTGCAATTCGTACAGAAGTGCCAATAGGTACAGGAGCAAACTTCTTTTCACTCGATTTCAGCATTTTTTCAGCCTGATGTTGTAGGTTTTTCTTAGCACTTTGACGATTATCTTGTACTTTATATTTTTTGAACATAATAGACACAAAACTTTAGATCCAAATCCTTCATCAGATGATTCTTCAGCAACAGCGCAAATAGCGTGGATTGCACATCCACATTCTCTACATGTATGAGCCTCTGTAGTTTCTTGTGAACAGACGCTGCATTGGAGGGTGCAAGCTGGAGGTTGCGTATTTGTTTCGCGTTGATCTGAATCGTTGTTAGAAACTTGACTTGCCTCCGTGTTAACTGTATAATTTTCTCCAAATCTTCTTCGGTTTCTACATTTTGCGTGAAATCATTGGCTAACTGTAAACCAACTTTTACTTTACACCCAAAAAGTGCCTCATAAGGAGATTGCTTAATACCAGCGTGAAAAGCTCTGTTTTTCATGAGTTGCACAAATCTCAAACCCTCACTCCAATGTGAATTATTATTGTCTTGCATCCACGTGGTCAACATATTTTAAATATCCTGATTTGCTCTTTCCACACTCCCCTGACTTCGCGAATGCCTGGGTTTACCATGAATAATTTTTAAAGTAGACCAATATGTTTTTAAATTCTCAATAATTCGGTTGGAAAATTCTCTGCCGTTATCAGACTGAAGTATTGCAGGAGCACCAAGTAGAGTAAATATGTCCAATAAAGTGTGAGCCACTTCCTCAGCTCGTTTTGTTTTAAGTGGTTTTAAAACAACAAATTTTGTTAAATGATCTTGATACACCATTATAAATTTGTTATCACCGTCGGGCTGGGACTGAAAATCTATCAGATCCACTTGGCATCTAGAGTTAAACTCTGACGATATAATAGGCTTTACAACAATGCCTTTTTTGATGTTTTTTTGCTTTTGTTGACAGGGTTCACAAAGTTCAAGATAAGTTTCTATATCCTTACGTGTTATGTTTTTGTAGTGACTCCCTACCTCTTTCATCATACGATCTCTTCCGCCGTGACCAATTTGAATATGTGCCTCGTGTAATATGTCGAATAACTCGCTATCACATGCGTAGTAAATAATAGTGCTTGTAGTGTCTTTAACAGGAAAAATAAGCTTACTTTTCTGGTCAATGGTAAGCACATCGTATCGCCGCAATAACCAATAATCACGAGAAGTCTTTCTGGCTGTTATTTTTGCCGTGGAAACTTCTTCAATTAACTCTTTATAACGTTCATCTTCAATATAAGCAGTGTTCTTAGCGTTTGTTAACGTTCTTAATGACGCTAAAGTACTATAAAATCGCTCTTTCATAAGCGCGATGCGTGATTCGGTAGCCATTTTGAACAACAGCGATGTGCGTACACACTGACAGTTAACGCAGCACTAGCGAGATCGCCTGATCAGACAAAACAATACCCTCCCCCTCGCCCCGCTATCCCCGCATACCCATTGATATCTCAAATATTTACATTTCCGACTGCTATTTAGACAATGTATAGATTTCCTAGGAAATGTGTCTAATATAATTTATTTTACACATTTCCGTGCGATTTTAGGAATTGCATACATTTCCTAGGAATTGTATACAATAACGAATTACATACATTTCCGGTAACATATACAAATATAATTTGGAATAAAATAATATTGCGAATATGAATTGAAATATAAGCTATCCTATCTCTCAAGTTGGACCAAACTGCACACGTCGTGCAAATTTGATCAAAATCGGTTAAGTAGTTTACGAGTCCATCGCGGACAAACAACGTGACACGTACTTTATATATATATATATATATATATATATATATATATATATATATATATATATATGTATATATATATATTGTAATGTGACAATAGCTACTTCAACTAGTTCAAGGCAGCCTCTTCATTCATTTGATAAGGGCATCTTGTAAATTAATTAAAGCACAAGCTGTCATAATGCTCATATCCAACATTCCAATTTGATTAATATTTATTACTGAATGCATCTTTAATATTCCAAACTCTATAATTTTTCGAATTATCCTCTCTACATGAATTCGAAGACTTGTTATTTGTTAAGTCAGCCGCACTTTATTTCTTGTTAGTTTAGAATCAGTAGAAACACTTTGAGGCCTTAGTAAAGTAAATCCTTTTTGAGATAAAAAATGTTCAAGGCGCTTAAACTCTCTGTCAACCAAAATGTGACTGTAAAGTGTGACTGTCAAGCACTGTGTGGCAAGCGATTTAAAAACTTGCATTGTTCAACCAAGTTTACATCATTTATCTTTCCTGCATTTCCAGCAGACACAAAATTCACGAGACTGTCAGGTTTATATGCTAGAAGACCAGGTCAATGCTTGGTGCATGACTTTTTTGGTTTTTGATTTGATTGAATTTCTAAGCAGTCTATAATACATGTGCCTTTATTATATTTATGGCTGAAAGTAATGGGTAAATTTCTCTTCATAGATTCATTGGAAAACTTTAATAAAGGGGGAAAGTACGTTTACAATTTTTGGCATCTTATTGAATTTATTGCTTGCTGGAGTTATTGATAAATCGAAGTCATCAGCCATTTGTGAAAATGTTCTTTTCAAGTTTATTCTCATTAAACATAACAAAATATTATGTTCGGGAACATTGGTGTTGTTTTCAGATAAATCTAATATGAAATACAATAGTATTTCATATTAGATTTAATTGAATTGGAATTCTTCGGTAGTCCAATGTATAATCGATCTTATTTTTAATCTTTAATAAATAGCTTAGAAATTTTTTAAGTTTTTAGTGTCATTTTGAGAGCTATCTGAAGTAGTCTTTGATTGACTGTATTTTAATTGATAGAATCAGGCATTACTTTGCGGAAATCCTTTATAACAAAGATATTGATTAATTTGCAACCTTCCGCTAACTAAATACAATGATGTGTCTTACCTGGATTGAAGAGCAACTCCCACCCTCCCTCAATTGCGTGCACTAATTCCGTCGCCACTAGTACCAGCACCACTACTCCCGGCATCACTACTTCCAACACCAATATTCCAGGAAAGACACACCATCGACGATAATACGACACGTGTATCGCCTCTATACGAGGCATCCTCAGGTGATGTACGGCGGCTGACCGCTAAGTGAGCTTTTAATCCATAGTTTTTGAAATATTATATTTTTAAATCCAGTAAATGTAATAAAATACAAAAACGTCGACTACGCCACCTTCAATAGGTGAATTTTTGTTTATAAATAAACTAGCCAACTTTGCCTGGATAGGATAGGATGTTTAGACTTAAGATAATTAAAGACCATTTGTTAAATCGATTTTTTTTAAAGAAATGTACAAGTATTTCGGATAAAATATATACTATATCTTCCCGGGCATTGCTCTTTATCTGTTTGTAAAATTTCGTTACAATCAGTTTAGCCATTCCGAAGATAAGTCTGGACTGCCAGACGGACAAAAAAAAATTTGGTCTTAATAGCATGATTAGATAGATTAGAGCTCTCCGCTCTAGCTCTCTGGGGCGTCTCAAAGACATGTATATTCAAAAATTTGAGAAATTAAAGTTAGTAGTTAGTTTAAAAAGAATTTATTATTTGGGTTATTGATAGAGTAATCACATCTGGTTGGGCTGGATAAATATATAAAGGAAAAATAAATATACTTAAATATATATTTAATATACTAACATAAATAAATAAATGATACATAAATAAATAAAAGCCCAACCAGATGGAAGCCCTCGGCAGGGGAGACCAAACGGCCGAGGGTTAGGTTAGGGAAAGGTAAAGAAACCGGCGGACGATGCGGGCGGTATCGATTACCTGGCTGGCTGGGCTTAACCCGTTTGCAGACACGACTACAGGAATAATTTCGGTCGGCAGACCACCCCACATGTTGGTCACCTCGTGAGCCAGGTCCAGATATTTTGATTGCTTATCTGTTTCGACTTTCACGAGGTTCTCGTCATACGGAATGGTAATATTATCGTCCAAAAATATCCTTGACTGTGCCTGATTCATCAGCACAATATCAGGCTTATTCGCAAGAATAGTCCTGTCTGTGATGATGGCTCGGTCCCATTAGAGCCTGGCGCGGTAATTTTCGAGCACGGCTTCCGGCAAGTACTTGTAATACGGCACTTTCCGGTCCACGAGATCGTATTTCAGAGCGAGCTCCTGGTGTCGAATTTTGGCTACTAGGTTGTGCCTGTGCAATTACTCAGAGTTAGAAAGCGCCGAACAACCGGAGATGACATGCCTAAGTGATTCCCCGGGATGGCGACAAGCTCGACAGACGTCAACGGTCCTTTAGGATGTATCTTCGATAGTTGTTGGTCTTAATAACCCGATCCTGTATTGCACAAACCAAGCCCTCGGTTTCCCCGAAGAGGTCACCGAAACGTAGCCGGTTGAGGGAGGCGACTGTATCTACGAAGGGCCCATGTAGAGCCCTGTAGTACCTCCCTTGGAGCTCCTTCTCCTTCCATACGGTCTCCTGGTCGGAAATGCTAGGCACTGCTGGGTCCTGCCATTGCTCGTTGGCTAAGGATAGAGGGGCAAGGCCTTTATCACTGGAAATGACGTCATTATAGAATGGATCATCCGATCTCGCTAGGAAGTATTCACGGAGGCTGCACACTCCGCGATTATGCATGGTGAGCGCGCTCAAAAAGCTACGCCCAACATGCTTTCGCGGCAAGTACAGCCTCATTACCGACGATCTCGGATGATGCATCCTATGGGACGTCATTATAGTGCGGACTTTTCTATCCAGGGCGTTAAGTTCAGTCTGAGTCCACCTGAGTACGCCAAAGGTATACATGAGAACAGGCATGAACCAGCCGTTATATGCGTGTGTCTTATTCACACCGGACAAAAGGCTGTTAAGCACTTTGGTCAAGCGTACATAAAACACGTCGCAAACTGCCTGTTTCATACCAGCCTCATCGATACCGATGTTCTGTGACATACCCAGGTATCGGTATGTTTCAGCCTCGGAAAGGGTCCATAAGTTGACGGGCGTAGATAAGTCTATGCCCTCCGAGTTAGCAACCCTTCCCCTTTCAACATGGAGGACCGCACACTTATCCATCCCCAGCTCCATTCTAATAGAATTGCTAAATTCACAAGTGATGTTTAGCAATTCCATAAGATGGGTGCGACTGGAGGTGAATAACTTGAGGTCATCCATATAGAAAAGGTGGGTCACTAAAAAGTATTATTATTATTATTAATAGCATCAAGAGCTAACTTGAGCTTCTCTTAAGCCAATTATTTCAATATTACAGACAGACACTCCAATTTTATTAATAAGTGTATAGATTTTTTTTCAATTATATTATACTTCAAATTAATGTATTAATAAAACAAAAAGGAAGACAAAGGTTTTTTCCGAAGCAGTATTAAAGCGTAAATGACTTAATAAGTATTCTTGTATTACATTGAATAAAAATTATTTTATTCTAAAATTTAAATTTTAATGTTTTAAACATATCTTTTGTTAAATATCACACTTAAGAATAGTAAATACGGAACGATTTTTCCATGTTCGATGCCACACACTATGTTGTTTTACAAGTTTCGCCATGCTTCATGTTTTATAAAAGGCATATTAAAAATTAGATAAATTTGGAAAATAAGATTAAGCAATAAAATATTTTAATAGTTTGGTTAATAATTCGGTAGCTCTCGGCATGTGATTTTGATCAAGTTGTTGAAAGTACTAAAGCACTACCATTAAGTATACGTAGTAGAACCACGTTTCAGCTGTGTTATGGTTGCAGCACGAATTGGGGGTAGAGCATACTTCTAATACCAGTGTAAAACAGCAATTTAGTGCGGCTATATTTCATGTAGTGAGTGTAGAGACTAGAAAACCTGAGATTGGAAATGAGTCATCCCATTTTAATCCTCAAGAGTGACAACGCATCAGCATTTTGATCCTTAATCAAGGATAAATGCAGATGACTGCAGGTCACAGCGTCAATTTTTTTTAGGATAAAGGTGACAAACGAGCACACAGTCCACCTGATGGTAAGTGGAAGCTATAACTCATAGACATCTACATTTAACCCTGATTAAGAATTAAAATACCGATGCGTTGTCACCCTTGAGGACTAAGATGGAATGCCTCGATTCCAATAAACGTGCAACGTGACTCTACCACGTAAAGACACACTTAAAGTGCGATGGACTGTTTGCTCATTTGTCATCCTTATTCTATAAAGACTGAGTATACAGACTCAGACAGCAGGCATTCTGACCGCGTCGGTCAACCAGAACGTAGGCGTTCGTAATTGGTGAGCAACTGAACGCTCAAACGCAAAACGCGAACGCGAAACGCTTGAACG